TTTTTATCACCGACGAAGTAACTTCTTCGATATAACAATGATCCCAAGCCTCATAGAAAAGACTTTCTTTAAATAAATTCTTTATTCAAAAATCGAGTTTCTCTATTGTAACAGATACAGAATATTGTGCTGTATTTACCAGCAGTCGGCTAGGAAAACTTTTTGGGTTTTAAGCTTTCTTCAGACATTCGATTACTGAGAGAAGCGATTTGCTTTTGTTTGGAAGTTTTAAAAGGAATCATAGTGACATTGCAGCTGCTTAGGCAATAAAGAGAAAAAAAAACATTCGTTTTGACTTCTTTTTTCTTGAAATTGAAAGCCAAAGTTGATTTTGGCCCAAGGGACCAAACATTGAACGAACACAGAATTTCAATCCTTTTGGCAAGATAAAACAACTGCTTCAACTCTAGGTTGCAGTTTTTCAAAGAAAGCTCAAATCAGCTCAAGATCTGATGAAGATTGAAAATTGAAGAGTTAAAGTAACTTGGCAGGAACTGATGAACTAAAATTACTCATGCCCAGAATAATTTAACGACTAATTAGTCCAACTCTTCCTCGAAACGTTCAGCGGATTCAAAAATGGCTTAAAGATGAGTACAATGAAAAACGCTTCTGTTTTTGTCTGTTTTCTTTTCTATGTACTCTTCTAACGTCCAAGGTGCCTTTTTTGTTGTTCAATTCAACTTTTTTCCTGGATTGACCCAGGCAACTTGCTTTACTATTCAAAATGAAACACTAAAACTGTCCGAGTATCTATTTGTTTATGTGTTCACCGATTTTTGTATAATCGCTGAAGCCATTTGCTATTCAGCCCAATTGGCGCTTTTCTCGAGTGGAGAATTCTGGGATGGGTGAGTGAACTGCTCATGTTTTGCTCGAGTACTTATTGATAGCTTAACTTTTTTCCTGGATTGACCCAAGCAGCTTGCTTTATTGCTTTATGCTTTATTCAAAATGAAACACTAAAATTGTCCGTATTTCAATTTTTATCAAATAACTAAACAAAAATCTGTAATAAATTTTTTTTTCAGTTTGATTACGGTGCTTTTGTTGCGGCGAGTATTGAGAATCAACCAAGGCAGAGTGGAAAACTTGAATTTGAGCTCGGTGGTCTTGAAAACGAAAAGCGCACTTGATTCAGCTGATTTAAAGGAAAAGTAATTATCAATTTTCTTTTAAACAATAAATTACAATTAAAAAACCCATTGCTACATTATTTTATGAAAAGTTTAGTCTCCAAAGATCACCAGAGAAAACTCGACTCAATTTTTAGCGAGTTGACCTTTTTACACTCAAAATAATGATTTCCCAGGTACACATAACGAATCGGGGGATGATTTTCGGAGAAATAAAGATAAGAAAGGCATTCAGTCAGGTACACGCAATGGGGAAGTAAGAAAGATGAAATTCTTCTATATTTATTGACTCGAAAAACAAAAATCTCCTAATTATTGGCAATTCGCAATGAATTCACTAGTTCCATCACTACTTTTTCTCTTCTTTGCACAGACTTTTCAATGCCCAATAGGAAGTGTACAGATTCCGAATGAGAACATTTGCCTTTACCCGATTGTTGACAGTGAGTTTTTGGGAAAATTCTCACTTTTTCATTTCGAATTTGATTATGAATAGTCAAGCAAATGAAAATTTCAATTCTGATAACATTTTGAGACCAATTTTATTTGAAATCACTAGTAATGGTTTACAAATTGACAAATGACAAATGACAAATTGACAAATTGACAAATTGACAAATGACAAATGACAAATGGTTACCCAGTTAGAATAGTGTACAACTTTTAAGCCATTTATCGGTAAAATACACTTGTTTTTAAAGTGAGACAAAGTCCGATTTTGCGAAATTAACTTCATTTTTCATGAAAATAGTAAGTGGAAAATTTGTTAGATGTTTTTGTTTCCAATTTTATTTTGAATCCATGCTTTCAAAAGGTGTTTGCTCAGTTAAAATGATGTAAAATTTTTAAGTCTCAAAATCTGCCTCTTTCCAGCAAAAGCCTACAACGATGCCAATCGCAAATGTGCCGTTTACGGAGGAATCCCGGCGAAAGTGCAAAATGTTTTTGAGAACGCTTTCGTTGGTGCAATGATGACAGACAGTTTTGTTCAATGATTTAAACAATGAAAAAATTGGGCCTAGATTTGATTGGAAATCCGACTTACATCGGAGTGACACGAAATGGGAATAATACGTGGACTTATGCTGATGGAACGCCGCTTACATTTCAGAATTGGGCACCAAGTAAGTCTTTTCATAAAAACTAGTCGTAAAGTTGGAGAATTCAAGATTTTATTGAACATTCACTTGGAAAATTGATGAAACAGCTCATACAAGCTTTATCTTTCGTTCGATTTTGTTAGATTTAGAAAGTAGAACTTTTGTAGCATAAAACAATCCTAAAAATGCTCATGTTTGCAAAAAAATCATGAATTAGATAATCCTTATTTAGCTTTAAGTGGAAAATAAGCCAAGATTTGACCAAATATCATTTTCAGATGAGCCAAGCACTGCCGGTAACTGTACAACAATCGATTCCAATGGGAAATGGGCAGCCAGCGATTGTGTCAAAGAACGAGCTTTCTTCTGCACTGTCGACCAAAATAGTTGGCATTCTTTTTTGAGAATAATTCATTTGATTCAGATTTTCCTTGCCCGAATGATTGGATTTATCAAAAAAAGACTGGATATTGTTATTATTTTCAGGTAGAAATCAATCAAAATCCGTCAATCAAACAAACAAATCACTTTTTTCAGGACTTCACCTTCTATGACAGAATCCATTGGCAACTCTACAACTGGTCGATTTCTGAGATAAATTGTCAAAAAATGAACTCACATCTCGTTTCGATCCACTCAGATGATGAGAATAATTTCATTTACGGTTAGTGAAGCTTTGATGAAGTGAAGCTTTGATTTTCAGACTCAAAAAAGCGGATTTGTATCAATGCTTTGATTTGATTTGGAAATGCTTCAAGTTTCAAAGTTCAGTTCAAAGTGCTTCAAGTTTTTATCGTAGCTCAGAGAATTAAAAAATTAACGTCCTGACAGTGATCATCTTAAACAGAAAAGGAACCAAAAGTTAAACTTACAAACGAAACTTTTCCAGACCAAAAGTTAAACTTACAAACGAAACTTTTCCAGACCAAAAGTTAAACTTACAAACGAAACTTTTCCAGACCAAAAGTTAAACTTACAAACGAAACTTTTCCAGACCAAAAGTTAAACTTACAAGCTTTTCTAGATCTAATCTCCTCAAATGTTGTCTACGATTATTACGCGGCTCCAAACAGTGAGCCATGTTACTTCCAATATGCTTGGATTGGTTATTTCGGAAATGGAACACTTGGAACCGGGCAATGGAGTGATGGATCGAAAGTCGATTATAATGGAGGAGCTGCGATCACGGAGAACTTTTATTGGGCGGTGGGGTTTTTGAAGAAGTTCAAATCAGCTAAATCAGTTGTTAGTTAAAATTTCAAAATATTATCTTCTCATTTGATAATGTCTTTATAAAGTTAATGAATTTTTTTCCAGATGGCCAATGATGATTCGTGCGAGAGGAAGCTCTGGGACAATGGCCCAGATGAGCCGATCAGTTCACGATATGTATGCAAAATGGCACCAAATAAGAAATAACGAGCTTGAAAAAAGAAAATAAATATAAACATTGGCAAACAAAAGTGTTGAGTTGATATTTTTGACATGAAAGCGTTGGATTTGAACATTAAAATGCAGATTTCCATTGAAAAAGAAGCGACAACCGTTCTTACAACTTTCCTTTGAAAGTTTTTTCGTTAAATAGTTATTCATTATCATTTTCCATACATTTCTCTTTGGAAAACCAATAATCGATCATTGATTTTTTGATGAAAAACCAATATAAAAGCAACGAAAGAAGGAAAATGCTTTATAGGAAAGCTGAAGATGCTTCTTCTTGTGCTTCTCAGTTTGATACCCATTGCGGTTTACGGTCAAAGTAATAAATTGCATACTGTTAAAGTTTTCTGTTCTACTCCACTGGAGTTCTTCCAATTGTTGGATGAAAATAAAGACTTGAATGCACTAAATTGCACTAAATATAACTACGAAATTGCATTATTTAAAGTCCAATTGAAACTTACTAAAATTGACATTTTCGAGATGAAAAAGCACAAAAGATCTACTATAAATGTACATCAAATTTTGATTTAAAAGAAGCAGAAAGTGTTCCCGCAACCCTTATTCAGAAGTTATTACCATTTTTCACACATTTTTCTTTTGTAGAACCAATATTGATCAGTGATTTTTAAACCAATAATCAATATAAACAGCTCTAAAAGGAATGATTTTTACCGGAAATCTGAAGACGCTTTTCCACTGCTCACTTTGCTAATACCCATTGCTGTTTTTGACCCAAGATATGAATGATCTATTGGTATTTTCTATTGAGTTTAGTGACGGGCTGATGTGAGCATTGTATATCAAAATCCGAAAGAAAACAAATGACGAGTTTTGCTATCAAACTACTTTCTATATTCTTGCCTTCAACTATATTTCATACCAGTTATTGCGCGTTTAAAATTAAAATTGACCTATTAAGAAATGAAATTTACGATCGATTGTAGACTCTTAAAATCTCTTAATGTTTTTCATTGTCAACTGCTGGGTCAAAGATTTCAACCGGCAATTCACGGGATTTCATCAGGACAGCATTAACAACCGCAGAGATTGCATGAGTAATGCCCATCCAGCGGGTGTTTTTTTCGTTCACAAATTCCTTTCACCAGTTGAGGCCTTATGAACTTTGCAATAAAGCCCGGCCGGGCATTTGATCTCACTTCCACATGGAATTTGTGAACGAAGGAAACACCCGCTGGATGGGCATTACTCAAGCAATCTCTGCGGTTGTCAACGCTGTCCTGATGAAATCCCCGTGAATTGCCAGTTGAAATCTTTGACTTAGCAGTTGACAATGAAAACATTAAGAGATTGTAGGAATCTACCATCGTAGTAATGTGTAAACCTGAAAAGTTTCAGATTGCCTTGTTAATTTGAGTCAACAAACAATTTTCTGAGTTAGAATAGCCATTTGCTGCTACCAAACACAGTGACAGGAGAACAAAGAAGAGCACACATTTCTTTCGAAGAGAAGAAATTGATTGTTTTTGAATGAGAGCCGAGAGTTTGTGGTTGATGTTTTTTGAACTTCCAACAATTACAATTTTTATCGAATAAATATACAATCACCCGTTCTTAAATCACATGACTTTTAAGAAATAACACTCAAATTAGATCTCAGAAGTGACAGCTGTGGTTTTTCGGGGAGAATTGTTGGGAGATGCCTGAAGAGCTTGAGTGAGAGATGGCCTCTTTACAGTGACAACAGTTCTCGGTTGGAGTGGAGAGGAAAGGGGAGATGCTTGAAGGGAAGTGGGACGATCCTGGAATAGTTGAGACTTATAATCTTTTAAATATACATTAAAGTATTTAACTTCATGCTAATCAATGGATTAGACAGGTGAAGGAGTTTTATAATACAGGATGTCTCAAAAGTTCCTATACTTTTTCCGTAGGCAGTTTTTTGACTTGAAAAACACGTGAATTTTGGAAAACTAACGCCGGATTCTAAAATTACAGGTCTTTTTACCCTAATATGCTCATTTTTTATAAAAAGATTTCAACTCTCAACAACTTTTTGACTAGGATTTTTTACATTCAGGTCTGGTCGCTGAAGATTTTTGCAAAAGTTGACTTAAACTTTACAAAATGAGATTTTCTCCAAAAACTGTTGTTACCATTTGATAGAACTAAGTTTTTTTTTCTTAAAAACAATCCACAAACAAACTTTATATCTCAAAAACGAAAGATTTTCAAGCGATTCTACGGAGAGCACCCAAATCTCAAAAAACACAAAAAAACTCCGTGACGATCTCTCATCAAAAAGTTGTTTAAAGTTGCAACTTTTGGCAAAAAAGGATAGTAATTGTAAAAATACTTGGATTTTCATAATCCGGTGTTAGTTTTTTTAAAAGTAGCCTGTTTTCCGAGTCAAACTAGCCGCTTACAAAAAGTAAAAGAACTTTTGAGAGCACATAGTGTTAGACTCACCCGCAGTGATGACAAAACAGTGGGTCTTCGAATGATCGGTTCACTTTCTAGCTTCAATTTTTCCAATGGTGGAAGAGTTGAGGGAAGTGGTGGTAGAAGAGGAGAACTGTGAGAACCGAGAGATGTTGGAGTGGGCAGAGATGGGGCAAGGGACGGGATTGACACCTCGGTTTCTTTCTAAAAGTCAAGAGGTTTTAGCTATCGATAAATTTAGCTGAAGGCCGGTTTTTTACTTACTTCATATCTTGGAGTCGGTGACGAAGATTGTGGGGTGAAATTTCGATCCGTTGAGCTTCTTCGCGATGAAAATCCCCTCGGTGGCTCTAATGGAGACAAATTCTGCGGAGATCCATGAAACGATGGTGGATTTGAAGAGATCGCTGTAGAGCATCGTTCGAGAAATTCCTGAAAGCAGTTTTCTCGATTGAAGATCTCGCTTTTCCCACCTCGAAATGCCTTTGAAATCCTTGATGAAACTCTTTCTGTATTCTTTGTAATTTCTCGATCACCGCTCCTCCTCTTCCCTCAATTTCCTCATTCGAACATTTTGCAACATCGCAAATTTCATCGAATTTGATGCGAACATTCTCGAGAAGAACCTGGGATTTAGAAATAAATCTAATAGTAAAAGCTTAGAATTCTTTTGGTTAAAAGATGTTCACCTCATCAAACAGTCCATTTGTAATTGTGGTTGTCGTCTCTTTGATCGTTTGAATGCTCGAATTCGCCTTTTCCAACCATTTTCCTTTCATCTCATCCACCAATTTTGATCGTTCTCTGAAAATTTCGAAAGTTAATTGCACGAATTTGAAATAATTACCGTAATTTGAGCACTTCTTCGTAGTCGTGCCCTTTATGATAATAAAGTAGACAAGATGCGCAAAACGAGAAACGCCCAAAGCGCTCTTGTTGGCTCATCTAGAAACAAATTTTCAAGTAAATCAATAGAAATTGAAAAATTAGCTTAGAATTTGCATTTAAAACGAATCCTTTAACCTCTTTTTGTAGACTTTCTGCATTGCTGTCATTTGGATCTTCTTCAAAACTTGACGCATTCAAATTTCCGACATAAACCATCGATTCACGGTTGAGTTTCTGGAGAATATTATTTTAGTTTCAAACTCTATTTTAATTTTGACTTACCGTACTCCCGTGTCTCAAACACGTCAAACACGTCCACATTTTCGTCTCTTCACATTTCTCCCGACACTCTCCGCAACGAATTCCTCGATTCCGGACCTCGACAAGACGGCTGAGGGTTAGAATTGCATCTAAATTTGCAGAATTAGTTCTAATACTTATATTTTAGATTATATTTCATTTATTAACCATTTCCACTCACCTTTTAACCCATAATTCACTGGCAATCCACCAGCTGGGATCTTTGTGAGCTTTCGACAAGCCGGACACGCAACGGTCTCGCTTTTCGCTGAAGAAAAAAACAGTTAAATCTCGAATTTCTATGAAAATCTATGCAATTTTCTGAATTTTATGAAGTAATTCTCCAAACAACTCACCAACAAGTCGCATCTGTTCCACGCAAGCCCAACACAAGGAATGGCCACAAGAGAGTGTCCGAGCGTCATCGTATGTATCCAAACAAATCGGGCAAATCAGATCAGATAAAGGTTCTCTAAATTTAAAAAATATATAACTTGTTAGATTTTTTTATTTAAAAACCTGAAATTTGAAGAGTTTTGTCCATTTTCGGTGCTATGCGATTCCAAAGGTAGCCAATCTTCCGCCGCCGCCTCGGCCGCCACTCGATTCGCGTTTGTCTAAAGAAAAAAATTACATTTTTAAACTAGTTAACTAAATATTTAACTAACAATCTTTTTTTTTGCTTTTTTTGATGAACTTTATCAACTTACCAACGCTTGATCGAGCTTCACTTTCAGTATGCAAGCCTCTCTTGGTTGAAGATCACAATGCACGTATCCCATCCCATCTAAACCGATTCGAAAAGAAATATTCGATGCGCAATCCGGGAGATCCTGTTGACAAGGAAGTCTAATATACAGAGAAATTACGAAAATCTCAAATTTTTCTCTTACTTTGTCCAACTAGCTGTACTCGGATCCAAATGCCAGAGGAAAACCCGACGTATCGTTTGCACTTCCGGCTCTTCTTGGCTCACAATCTGAAGATTTTTATGAAAATGCTATTTTCCTTACAAAACCTTTTCCAATAGCGCAAAATACCCGGCTTCCGTTGTCCAGGCGTTGCACCATTGAGCTGAAAATTTTAGATTACCACAATAAAACTTGATAAAGTTTTAGGGTGCCACAATTAATGGACTAACAAGGGAAGATCATCTGGAGCGGTCAGTTGACCGCAGAAAGAGCACTTCTTGAAAAAAAGCAAAAGAATAACCCCAAGTGGGGCTCGAACTTGTGAGCTCTGAAAATGAACGCTGTACCACTCGACCATGGCTGCCCCGAACCCAAATGACCACATTTTCAAAGCTCTAACAAAACTTTAGACGCTTATAACTCCTGGCAGATTGTCATTTAACGGAATATATATTCGGAATCAGCATCAAGTTCTGCGTCGAATGGTATGGGTTGCATAGCATTTGGCCGGCTTAGCCAGTTGACTTTTTCTTGTAAGTACAACAAGGGAAGGTCAACTGGTTGAGCCGGGCAAATGCTATGCGTCTAAGTGCGACCAAGTCCAGACTAAATTTCCCCTCAAAATTTCTACCTTTCTTGGCCGGAGTGAGATCATTCAATGATGGATTGATAGCCCGTGCATCCCAGAGTGTTTCTGTTGATTCCAAACTCCTAGAAGCCAAAATGTTCGGGCTTCTAGTGGTGCAGAGAACATGAAGCTTCTAGGAACAAAGTAGTAATGCTGTTGTAAACTTTAGCAAATCATGTTTTGACTAGCTTACTCGATTCGTGATGAATGGCAATTCCCATTGTCCCATTGGGAGCATTCCCTGTTTCGTGGTGACTCTCATTGTTGTCGTGTCGAGAATGCAACAGACAAAGTGTAACGGATTTTGGTTTTCATCTCCATCTATTGAGTGAGCTCGGGAGAATCGTTCATAAAAGATCATCTGGAAAGCTTAGTAGTACTAAACAGCTGTCCAACAAGGCCAAGCCTGCACTGTACAACTTTGCCAAGCCAATATAATGGTCTAGAGTCTAGATCTAAGTTTAGAACTACTTGGGTTTTGTTGTAAAGGAATGCTTAAGTCAATTTTGCAGCTATTTTATCCTTAAAGTTACCTGGATTTCATTCGAGCATTTCTGCACTGAATATGCCAATCGATCATGTGTAATCGCTGAAGTATTCAACATCGATGTCTGCCTTTTGATCAACAACTCCCCAGCGATCAGAAAATGAATCAAGCAAAAAACCTAAACGAAAAGTATTTTAGATTTCAAATTGTATTCAACCTTTTTATGCTTATTGTAGAACAACATCGACAAATAGACTTCATTTGAGTATTTAAAGTTGAATAGAGTGTAGCATAACCAGCGACGGTGCTTGAAATCGTGATCTTCCCTGAAAAAGGGTTATCAAATAAATTTCGTCTTAAATTTCCATTTCCATTGAAACAGACAATGTGATAAACATCAAAAATCATTTCGTATAACATATTTGCTTAGTAATTTGATTGCCTTATCTTGATTACTGACCATTTCAGTGCTTTCCTGATTCCATTTCTCAAATCGACTGAATAGACCACATCAGGCTGAGGATCGTGAAAATAAGCAGTTCGTCCATCCTCTGGAATTAAAAGGTTTCATTTAATTTCATAGCTTTCTTGATTTCAAGTTTTCTTCCACCAACCAGCGATTGTGAAAGCATTTATTGATTGAAAAACTCCAGGCATCGGGAGACGATCTAATTCTCCCGGATTCATCGCTGACGATGAGGGACAAGAGGCCAGCTTTTCAGCTTTTCCAGGGGTTTCTGAAATCATAATTTTTTAGAAGATTAGTAGAATTGCAAACGAATTATTCAATTGCACAGTAAACTACTAAGTAAATCCAAAAACTAGAGAGAAAAAGAAATGAGCAACAATAAGATTGACAGTATTTGGGAGTTCTAAACATTTTTGCAGCAAACTTGTAGACTTAAAAATATTCTTTCCATTGAAATCATTGTACTAACTATTGACAAATTCGATTCCAAGACCGATTTCTCACCCAAGAAACCAAAAAAAGCTTGCAAAATATTGCAAAATATTTACCCAAAAATGACTAATGCTCTTTGATCTTAAAAAAACTAATCAAACTTTGGTAAACATTAGCCAAAAAGTAAAATTTACTATCGCAAAAAAGCTGTTTGTTCGGAAAAAGTAAGCCGGTTTCAGCAAAAAGGGGGAAGAAAAGGTGTTCAGCCTCAGCGATTACTGATAACAGGATCACGAGGGAAAAGAAAAAAATCTGAATTCTTGTCGTCTGAATACCCGAAAGTATTCAGCAATGAAATAAAAGTTATTAAAATAAAAAGAGAATTCTCGAGTCTTGTTTCCCCTTGTTGTCTCCTTTTCAACTCACTCAAAACGACAAAACTTTCACTCGTTGCCTCGCATAAAATTCTTTTTACTGCTCAAAAGTCAATGTCAAAAAGAGATTGAAATCTTTTTAAGTTCAAGAGGAAATTTGTTGTTATCAAGATTTTTGGAAAACAAATTATGAATCAAATGTTTTTCAGCGATTTCGGACTTGTCTAGAATTGAAATGACAATTCTTTCAATAGAAGGTCAATCACTAAAAGTTATCACTGATTTAATGATATCAAGAAAAGATTCCAAAACCCCCGTTGTTTGGCGAACGCGTTTTAAATTGTTTACATTGCAAATTGCAAATAAAAAAGCTTTCTAAAAGGGTAAAAATGCAAAAAAATTAAGTCTGAACCAGTTTTACAATAGGCCTAAAACAAAAGGATTGGATTTTCAGATGAATTTTCACCTTATAAATGTAGATTTTCACTAAAAAATGTAAGCTGAGAAGAAAAACCTTGAATTACACCTTTTTAATAGTAATTTCAATAAAGAATGACTAGATTCTTCAAAAATTAAATATTAATGAGTATAAAACGAATAATTCAATCTTTATGAATAAATTGAAAGCTTCATTTCGCAAAAGCAACACTTTACGATAGTTGTATAAGTTTTTTTTTGTGAGCAAAGGCTTTAAGTGACAAAAAGGATTGGACAAAAAGGATTGGAAAAGTAAAAGGGATTGGGGAATGTTGGGGTGAATGCCAAATAACAGAAATGACTATAGAAAGGGTGGAAAAGATAAGGGGAAAATCGAAAAGGAATAGGGAAATGTGAAGGGGAAGAAAGGGGAACGATCGATTCATCCATAAATCGAATCGGTCAAGAGAAAGGGTTTGGAAAAAAAGGGGGAGATGACCACTTCAGCGTGTACAAATGTTTAGGGAAACCCAATCGATCAAAACTCTTTACTATTAGTTCATTTTTGTTTCTAAAATTCAATGAATAAGAAGGTTCAATTATGGGAAATACACTCAAATATGGGATCGACTTTTGATTTTCGCTAAAATCGCCAAGATCAAAAGTCGATGAGTCATAAAAGTTAAACAAAAAAAGTAAATAAAATAGCATAAGTGCAAGTAGTGTAAAACTTCAATCAACAGGATACATTGAAATTAAAAAAAATAAGTGAAACAAAGTCGAAAAATTAATACAAAAGCCCGGACTTCGCAATGAACATTGAAATTCAAAAAAATAAGTGAAAGAACCGGATTCAGCCAAAATTTCAGCAAATTACCAGAACAAAACTAGCTTTAAAGCTCAAATAAAGAGTCAAGTATTGATAGAAATCGATAGTGAAATCGTTTCAAGCAAGACCACTTCCCAGGCTACTCATCCCACCCCATTCCTTTCTATGTACAGTTTTCTTTCCCTTGTCTTGTCTCCCTCAAAGTATTCACCGCGTGACGCATCTTTTCCCCGTCTTTTCCCCCTTTCTCCCATATTTTGTCCTACAAAAACTCGCGGCTTTTTATAAGAAATATGGAAAATTTCTGATTAGTCATTCTGGAATATGTTAAATGTTTGCAAACAGAGAGAAACCACTGAAATCATTTGAATACCGGATGTTGGCTGCATAGGAAGTAAAACAGGAAAGGAAGTAAAACTTGAAAGCTTGTCTAGTTCGAATAAAAAATGGAAGCAAATTGAGGATTTATTTAGCTTTGTAAGAAAGGTGTGCTTGACTGAACGATAAATTAAAATTTTGATCGAAAGCTGCTTACATTGAGAGCTATTTTCTTTGATTTTAAGTCATCAAAGGTGCTTGGCTTCTTCGTAAATTAAAAAAAAAGAAATTAAAAGTTGCAGAAGCTCTAAATAAGATAAAATGAAATGAAGGCAAGGCACGCAAGGTTGGGAAAAGAGGAGGCGGGGTTTGGAGAATCGGTGATAAGATTAGAAGTCGGCAAAATTACGTAGAGAAACTGCGATTTTGAGAGCTTGTTTCCATTGTTTTCGAATCGCTCAAGTTCTTGTAGTTCTTGAGAAATTGTAATGAATCTCTCTTTTTAGATCTTTAGATTGGAAATGGGCTTCTGGAAATTGGGAGTATAGTAATAGGAGTATTTTAGCACGTTTAACGGGTTGTGAAATTTGAAAGCAAAAATGCAGTCAAATTTAATGCAAGCTCCCATAAATTGATCTCAAAAATCTCGCATAATGGCGCCGAAAGTAGTCAAAAATTAGCTCAATCACTCACCACTCCTTTCCCTTTACATAGAAATTTTTCTTTTACTTTGTAGATGATCTAAAAAAGAAGATATTCAGCTGTCAATTTGTAAACTATCAGCAAAAACAGTATCGCTGTGTTAATAATTCAGTTCTATTCCAGTTCCAGTAAAAAAAAAAACAATGAAAATTGATTATTGTGCAGGTGAGTCGATGGTTAAAGGGAATGGGGTGCCTATTTGGGGAAATGGACAGCCACACCATCCCCACCTTTGCCCTTATAGTCAGTCTGTGTACCCCTTTCCTCCCCATCCATCCGATGTTTCTTTCTGTGCACCCTAACCTTCCTCTCACTGTTCCCTTGCCAATACCCCTAACATTCCCCTTCTCTTTCCCTTCTATACATGACAGTCCCTTTCCCGTCATCCTTTTTCCATCTCATATATTCTCATAGGTGTGGTCAGCGAAAACAACCCCTTTCCCGTTCTTTTCCATCTTTCTGCATCTTCTTTTGCAAACAAGACAACCAGCTGGGTTGGATTGAGAAAATATGGGAAATTGCATATGTAGAAAGTCGCGATGGTTAAGTCTAAGTAAAATGTGAAGGATTTGCAGCAAAGTGATCACTCGCGAAACTTCAAGACGTTTAGTTATATGTATATTTCCAGATTCATTTATATTATGTTAATAATTGGCTTAGGCTTATCTTGTCAATTGACTGTCAACAATTTGGCAAGAAGACGTTTGTACTAATGATCTTTTTAAATAGGACCCATTTTCAAGCAATTCCTTCAAATTTAACTTTCAGTTTTGCTCTATGCTGTATTTTTTACGAACTTTGCTTAATCCTAACACCAATAAGTTAGGTGTAAGTTTTCAAAAGTCAGAGGAAGATAAGATTCGAACAGGAAAATTTTTGAAGTTTCTGATTGTTTTGTCTTCGAAATGCCCATTACAACAAAATGCTCAAAAAATTTTTCGTTTTGAACGTTTTTCTTTTGTGCGATGGAGGAAAGCAAAATGTTTTTGACGGGGTAAACTGTCACACGAGATATCTTTTCTGTGATCCCCTCGATCGTTTCATCAGTTGACCGATGGATGGCGAAGATTTGGCTGATTGGAGTACGGACACAGTAGAAGGTAATGATAGTCTGAGTCCGTCTAGAGTTTTGAGCTTTGAGACAGTCACTGATGCACTAAATATCATTATCCAATGCATCCAGAGGGAGAAAAGCCTATGTTTAAACCCTGATCTGATCCCAGCTTTGATGATTTTTTAACTTTTAATATTCCTTTTAATAAAGATCCTTTACAAATAAAGAGTAAAAACCGATTTTTCATCATTTTTCAATCATTTTGTTCTAGGCGCTGGTTAAAGCTAAAAATATGTGTTATATCTCAAAAAATCACCCATTTTCTCTACTTTAATTTGATACCTAAGCGCGCATAAACAAATGTTTGGGTGCCGAGATATGAGAGGTTTTTTGAGTGTAAACTTAGACTACGCGACGCTCCTATGTATAGAGCTTCTATTAGAGTATTTACGGTATGCTATTTTTCTAAATACCATATTTTGGAACCTCAAAAAATGTTTTCCAAAAGTTTCGCAAAAAATCAAAAAAGTTTGGCTGGAAGCGGAATTGAACCCGCGAGCAAAAGTGGCATAGTTTCGCAGACTAGCGGACTATCCCCTAGGCTACCGTCGTTCAGCTTTCCCCATTTGGCACCCCTTTATACCCTTAGGTTTGCCGAAATTATCCGAAACTTTACACGAATTTTTCTCAAAAACTAGCTTTTACTAGGAAAAAATTTAAAAAATATATGTTTCTTAGAATTCGACGGCGCGTTTTGTAGCTAGGTTCGGTTTCGAAAATCGGTGGTAATTTAAAAAAGTTCCCTAGTTAGACTACGCGATAGGTGGGCTTCTATTAGAGTATTTACGATAACTTCAATTGCAGTTCGATTGAAAATGGAGTGGCTTCAACTCAGCAATTGGAATGGCGGTGAGGGTATTGGTGAGTCTAGTGAGTGAACGATATGTGTCAACAATGCCCGAAGAAACGACAACATTTTGTAATGATTTCACGGTAAAAAGAAAGAGCGACCACGAAGAAAGCGACAAATGCAACAAAAATGGCTACAGGAGAAGTGACAGTAATGACTGTGGTAACGAGCTCGGGAAAAGA